CAGTGACTAAACTACTGGTGATAAACTGCAAATTTTGGTTGATCTATGAAGGACAGTCGAGGACCTGATTGGCTAGAAAGCTGGGTAGGACTTTTTTTCATAGCTTGTGCTCTGGAGGCAGTCTTGAAACATCTAAGATCACCTAGTTGTCTTGACAGGAGGACCTCAGTAGAATATTGATGTATACACATGAAATGATCAGCAAATTAGGATCACAGGTTTGGAGCTAAAAGAGACCTTACAGAACATCTAGTCTAAATCCTCTCATTTTACTGATGAAGAAACCAAGGCCCAAAGAGGTAAGTGACTTTCTCAAGGTTACATAGGTAATAAGTGACAAAGAAAATATTTGAACCCAGGTCCTCTTTCTACAAAGCCACTTTTCGTGTTTGCTTTTTCTGTTGTCTCACACTGAAAGTTTTTGTGCTTATATATGCCCAGGGTCTCCTCCTGCACAGTTTCAGCTTATAGAGGACAATCCCATTGAAAGAAAGTAAAAAACTGATGTTCAAATAGTAAGAGTGAACTATGTCAATTAACCTTTATCAGTTTCTATTTCCTATAATATTAAACTCTGAACAAATACTTTCTTTCTGCCTATTAGGTGGACTAATGTCTCAATTGACTCTTTTAAATATATCCAACCTAATTTCTCTCTTCCCTTCCAGAGAACTACCCTTTGCTCAGCTATCAGATGTCCTTTCCAGTTGTTTTACCATTCCTTCATTCATTTAACAAATCTTTTCAGTATCTACTGTGTCTAGGACACTGGGCTAGGCCTCTCTGACTTGCTTTCTGCTCTTGCAGGACAAGACGGCACTGTGTCTGCCTATGACAGCACCAACCTTTCCTTCAAGCTTTCTCTCACCAAGTAAACAATGAGTGACTCAATATTTCATAATCTGACTTTGTAAACGAGCCAGGCAATTTTGTAATAAAAAAATAAACCTAGGTTAAAAAAAAACTTAAACCATCAAATACCACAAATGTAAATTAAATAAACAGAAAACAGATTGCTTAGCAGAATGGCCCATAGCAAGTGAGTTTAGATTTTCTAAAGATCAGTTTCTCCATATTAGAAAGCGTAAAACTTGGTCCTTCTTCACTATATTTGTTCAAATGAACATGGCTATCTTCCCCCTCCCATTCCCTACTATATGGGAGGGAGAGGATAAAGATATGCTAAAAGAACTTTTTTAGCTACTTCAGGGAACGACTAAAAAAGCCAGAATGTGTAAATCAACAAGTCACGTCAATGAGCATTTATTAAATGCTTTCAGGGTGTACAGGGTGGTCAGGAAGGACAAGAACCAGGGCTACTCATCCACCTGGATGTCTACCTGTCACCTAACTCTCACCTATGACTCCAAGAAGGTGTAGCACAGGCAGTGGCCACCCCTCAATAAAACTACATTGGCAGATGGGCTAACCCAACTCCAAGGTAACTGATAAACCTCAAATCCATCAGTGAGTTAGGGGGATGTCTTCACATCCCAAAAATGTGAAGAATTCCCCCAGCAGAATGGGTGGTTAAGAACAATTTCTTCCAATGACCATGAAGGTGGCTGAAGCAGGATCTGTGGAGCACTTAGAGCTTGGGCAGACATTGAAAACTCCAAAGGCATCCACTGTATCCTGGGCCATCATCAGTCATCTTAACTTGTGTCACTGAATTCTGATGACTCTGGAAGAGAAAGTGAGGCTGATGGCTTTGTGCAACCCTGCCTCACTTAAATACAATTCACCTGTAAGTCAAGATAACACCTCATGATGTCACTGGTCCTCTGTGAAAAAGGACAAACAACAATTAAACACCTTCTGTGTGTCAGATACTGTGTAAAGGATTGGAGATGCAAAGAAAGGAAAAAACAAAACAAAACCAAAAACAAACACTCCCTGATCTTAAGGAACTCACAGTTTAAGGGGGGGAGATAACATTCAAACAAAGGCGAAATATAGACAGGATAAATTAGAGATAATCCAAGAAGGAAAGATTAATATAGGAGATTGGGAAAAGCTTCTCATAAAAGGTAGGACTTAAGCTGGGACTTGAAGGAAGCCAGGGAAGACAGGAGGAAGAGATAAGGGGATGGAGGATAGCCTGTGAAAATGCTTAGAATTTGAAGATGGAGGATTAAATTCAGAGAACAGGAGGAATTAGAAATGAGTGTACAGAGTAGAAATTACGTAATCAACAGTAGAACAGAGAACAGAAACTTAGGACTATTTTCTATCAAGATTAATTCAAAAGTCAAAAAGTAGCATTTTAGAGACAGGACAAGAAAGAAGTAGGAATAGATGTGAAGTTGTGGGGGGAAAGTAAGGCTCCACAAGAGAAGACTATATATGTTTGGGTTATACAAGTTTGGAGGTGGGGTGGAGGCCTCATGATCCTCATTCTTCTCTAAGCTGGGTGAAAGGTGGTTAGGAAAGGGAAAGAATATAGTTTATAAATACAATAAAGTAAATAGGGAATTGGTCTGGAACAAGGAGGGGGAAGAGAAGGACTTAAAAAAGAGAGGTTTGTGTGTGTGTGTATATGTATATGACAGATAGAGGAGAGACACAGAGAGAGAGACAGACAGACAGACAGAGACAGAGACAGAGACTGGGGAAAAAGTGGATAGGATTTAGATTGATACAACTACACATCGCTAATACTAATTTCATTCCCTTTCCTCATCTTTTTTTTTTTATTCTTTTTAAAGGGGCTAGGGCAGAAGGAAAGAAAGCATTATAAAGAATATGATGGAGGGGAAAACGGATGTGAAAATTATAACTTGCAATTGGAATGGGCTAGACTCACCCATAAAACAGAGGAAAGTGGCACAATGGATCAGAAAGCAAAACCCAAAAAATTATCTGTTTATAAGAAACACATTAGAAACATAAAAATTCATATAGAATTAAAATGAGAGGCTGAAATAGAATCTACTATATCTCAGATGAATAAAAAAATCAGGAGTGACAATCATGATCTAAGATAAAATGACAGTGAGAAAAGGACATAATTAACACATAAGTAAGAAAACTACATTATGCTTAAATGTATCCTAGTTAATGAATCAATATGAAAAATACATGTGTATCCAGTAGCACAACATCTATATACCTGAAGAAAAAGATAACCAAACAACAAAAAGTACTACAAAGAAAAGTAATTAGCAACAGGGACTTTAACATGCCCATTTCAAACCTAGACATATCTAACCTAAACTAAATAAGACAAGAAATACGTTAAGCATCTAAGAATATTAGATGGAGAATACTTTTAAATTATGAAAGTGTGTGAATTGATACAGAGTGAAGATAGAAAACCCAGCAGAATATTTCACATGATGATATAAAGCAACATTAAAAGACATTAGGCCTCAGATCAATGAAGTGACCACTTGTGACCCCCAGAAGCATTTTAATTTATGTACAGAGGTATTGCACTATGGGTGAGAAATGGAGAATAAGTTGTCAGACATAGCCAATGTATTTATTTGTTTTGTGTAACTGTACTTGCTACAAAGGAGTACTACATTTGGGTAGGGGGCCAAGTAGTCATTGGAAAGTGATTGGGATGAAAAAAGGGGGTATCAATGAAACACATTCAAAATGTGAGGGGAAATGTTGCCAATTGTCCTATGTCTCACTGCCTTTTTTCCATTAAGAAAAAAATTGTGTTTAGGCATTCAGTTGTTTCTATATTTGTATTTGGGACAAGGACACATTTAAAGTTTCTAATGAGTTTGTATCCTAGCCAATTAATAAGAATACATATTCATATAGTACTGTGTATTCTCAATTGAGCTTCTCAAAAAGCCTGTGTCATGTGCATTGTTCTTTCTTTTATGAGTCAGGAAAGTGGGGCTCAGACAAGTGAAGTGACTTGTCCAAAGTCATACCCTAATAACTGTTAGAAGAAAGACTTTAACCTAGTCATTCCTGACTTCAAGTATAGCATGGCATATACTATACAAGCCTGCTCCTCTCATGCAATTATAAATGTAAAAATTCCATTCTCTGGCAGAGTCAAAAATAGGAATACTTTGCATTGTCAGCACTGAAATCTGGAAAATTTAAAAAGGACCAAGGAATAAAAAGTTAAGTCCCAGGTGGTAAAAAGGAAGGCCAGCATAGCCAAAAGAGGACCTGTACAGAATGTATGAACTTAAGAAATCCAATCATGAAACTGTTCTCATGAATAATTCATCACTGGGATGAGGTTAAAAAAAGAGTCATCAAGTACCTACTATGTTTTGGGAACTTTAATTATAGAGTCACTGGAGAGGACTCTGAGTGGCATTTCTTCAGTGATTCAGATGCCAGGTGTAAAAGAGAATGACATAAGCTTTAAGTAGTGGAGCAATTTATGATTCATTTTGGAAGAAATATCTAGACAGGAGGAAAAAGTAAGAACTGTTGGATGGATTTTTCAGTAATACTGTCAGACAAACTAAGGATAAAGACCATTTCCATATGATTTAGAATGAAATGGTGGCTGGAGGTGATGTAACTGTGGAGTAAAAGAGACAGTGTAGGGCTAGAGAAAATCACCTAAGCAGGTCACTAGCCATTTGAGGATGTTATGAGGGAATATGTAATCACAAATTAAATCTTTGGCAAGAGGAGGTTGGGACAATTTATTGGCCATAAATCTTTTACCTGGAAGAAGAGAGAAGTTACCACAGAGATGTTGGATGGTCACATGCCTGCCATAAATTTGGACCTAGGTTTTAAGTATGTCTTACCACAATTTTGGAGTGCTTTTGATGTAACCAGTGGAGGTACAATAACTCACAGTGGAAAAAGTAATGTCTAATGTTGTCTGTGTAGCAAAGGAGGACATATTTACTCCAGAACAAATGGAGGAGGCATAAAGGCAGCAATTTCAGGGAACAGAATCTTCGTGAGAAATAGTGCAGCAAACAATCTTCTTGCTAAGATACTTTTCTTCATGAGTTCATGGAGGCAGCATGGCACATGGAAAGAAACTGGTTCAGGAGTCGCAGAATCTGGGTTCAAACTCTACCTCTGATATTTATTATCTGTATCACTACAAGAAAGTCACTTAGCTTGCCTAAGCCTCATCTTCCTCATGTATAAAGTTGGGATTTGGACTGGTTTAACTCAGTGGTCTCTTCCAGCTTTAGATCCAGGATCTGGCAATTCTAAAATAAAAGTTGTACAAAATGTGTAAATTCTCAATATTTTCCTAATTTAACTTAACCCAATATATACATAACAGTACACAAGAGACCACCTGCTTCCTGGCAGATATGAAATGCCCTGATGCTCATCCACTGGAGCCCCTAGGTTCAATTCCTCTCATTCTTAAGAGAAGAGTAAGGGAGGAGTAAGGGAGGAGTAAGCTGAGCAAGAGGAGGAGTGGAGCTGGAGCAAATACAGAACATGCATAAAACACAGGAAAGAACCTGGAGGAGAGTCATCCAAGTAAGCAAAAAGGAAGACACTTTTGATGCCATGCCAAAGAGAGTGAACTGGCAAGGAGGGAAAGCTGAGACAATAAGGCAAGGACCACATAATCAGACAATGCGTGTGACACACATTAGAGTGTCTTGGAGCCATTGATGTTGCTGAGAAGAAAACTAGGGACTTGTTATTTTTCTGTTCTTTTTTTCATTCTCAGTGTTGTGTTACCTTGGAAGGGCATTGTTATTCAATCATGTGTGACTCTTCATAATCCCATTTGGGGTTTTCTTGGAAAAAATCCTGGAGTAGTTTGCCATTTCATTCTCCAGCTCATTTTACAGATGAGGAAACTGAGGCAAAAAGGGTTAAGTGATTTACCCAGCTAGTATCTGATGCTAGATTTGAATTCATGAAGATGAGCCTTGCTGATTCCAAGCCTAGTGCTTTATGCACTGTACCACCTAGCAGCGCCCCCTTGGAAGGGTATTGAACTTGTATTCTTAGTGTCTCATAAGAATTTGTTTTCCTTCTTTTTCCACCTCATTTTTTTGAAAAGAAGCTTGTTTCTCTTTGATAAAATGGCTAACCATCACATTGCTGACCTCTGTAAGTGTGATTACATGAATGCTATCAGACGATACAAGAGGTGATAAAGTTCACAGAAGAGGGAGACAGATTTTTTTTTTCATGGTTGAGAATTTAGGGGGAGTACAAGGGGGCTTGGAGCTATACAGAGCAGAGAGTTTGCTGGTTTGTATTTTTACATCTTATAGAAGAGAAAGGAAAATGTGGATATAGATTACTTTCTTGATAAGTGTATTTAATAGCAACCTGACTGGGTTAAGGTGGATCTGGTACACAAGGTGTCATCTCTGACATTTCCCCTTTTTGTTGTTTTTCCCAAGGCAGATTTAAAAGCTGGGAAAGACTGTTACCATCCAGATCAGGATGGGGACCAGCGAGAATATAATTAGTGCCCTGCTCATCCTCTTAATAGCACTTGCCCCACATCACTGTTACATTTATATGATATATACACAAATGCATAATAATACATTCAAATAGGGTCAATATGCAGCAGTTTGAATGAGGTTGAGTTTTAGGATATTTAAAATGAGCGGATGTGGTCATTTTCTCCTGTCCAGTTTATTTTATATATTTGGCAGCAAAATTATCTCCAGGGGCAGCTAAGTGGCACAGTGGATTGAGCACCAGTACTGGATTCAGAAGGACCTGAGTTCAAATCCGGCCTCAGACACATAATGCTTACTAGCTGTGTGACCCTGGGCAGGTCACCTAACCCCATTGCCTAGCCAAAAAAATAATAAAAATAAAATCACCTCCAAATGAGTAATCATGTGGTAGCTCCACTTCTGTGTTAGGGAAAGGAAAAAAAGAAAAAAAACATTCATAAGTGAGATTTATTAAAACATAGTCTGTATGACTGAGAAAGGCCTCAGAAGGGCTAGAGATACAAGAAGGGCCCAAAAGACATCACATTGGGTGAAGTGGTAGCAGATCCAAAGATGGTTTCTGAGCTTTCAGGAAAAGTTTTATCTCTGACATTCATCAGAGGGACACTGCCTTTCCTCAGAAGTTCCAGGATGATGATTAGTAAGGAACAAGGTATAATATTTGATAGAATCCTAGACATGGAGTCACAAAGATACAGATTTGAATCCTATGTCAGACACTAACTGTGTGACTCTGGGTAAGTCACTTAATTTTCCTTATCCTCAGATTCTACATCTATAAAACAGAGAGATTTATCACATTTCCTTCACAGAATTATTGTGAGGAAAAATAACTCATGTGACACACTTTTGCAAAGCCTTAAAGTGCTATATAAATGTTGGTTATTATTACAATGAAGATAATGCTTATTTGTTATCTCTATTCCTAGAACTATACTTTGGGATCTCTGAGCCTTATTATTGATGAAAGGAGCTGAGCATCACAAGATTAAAACATTCCATTATCTATTCAACATTAGCTATTTTCTAAGGGGTAGGAGAAGAGATGGAGGGAAGGAGAGAATTTGGAACTGAAATATAAATAAATAAATAAATAAAGTGTGTGTGTGTGTGTGTGTGTGTGTGTGTGTTGTGTGTGTGTGTGTGTATTTAATTATCTACAAATGTGGCCATGGAAGATCTTGTCTGTGATGCCAGGTGCCATGGGACCATTCAGGCCCAGCTGGTCAATTAGCTATGATGTTATAATTGAGAAAACAAAAAGGTGACTTTCTCAGCTGGTTTTAGGGGGTTAAAGCAGAAAAGAAAAAGATGAGAACAAATTAAAATTGAATAGGCATATAGGATAGAAGCCAATTAATATAAAAGGATCTTCCTGGGGAGTTTTGTCTCTAAATTGCCTGGACATTGTCAGGAAAGCAGCCTTGGATTATTCTCTCATGTGACAATCAAAGGCCTTCTGCTGAAGGTGCTTCTAGCTTTTCCCATATTAATTTATGGAAACAATTTATGCATAATTTATGCATAAATATTCATTCAAGTTAGAGATATGAGGGGGAGGCATGAGATAAACTTCCACTGCACAAAGAATCCAACGGGGGAGGGGGGAAGGCCTCAATTATGAATATAGCTATGGTATAGTAAGTAGAGAGCTGTCTGACTTAGACAAAGCCTGAATTGAAATCCCACCTCTCAAACATACAGGCTTGGTGATTCTGGACAGATTATTTAACCCCTCAATTTCTCTGGAAAATATTTAAAACTCTACATTGTGAAGGAGGCATCAATGCTCATTGGTAAAGGAAGTTCCTCACCAGGTCACAGGGATAGTGAAAAAAATTTTTGAACAAAGAAAAATGTATACACACACACACACACACACACATATTCATACATATAAATATGTATATACACATATTTTTCTTTGTTTAAACAGTTTTTTGAATATATCTATATATCTATATCTATATTCTCTAATACATAATCTCAATTAAATTGCCTCACCCAGGGTGATGAAAGCACTTGCAGTCACAAAATTCTAAGATGCAACCATGTTCTCATAATTAATTAAAAACAAAAGACCAAAGAAACTCTAAACCAAACCCTGTGAAATGAATTGTGGCCATCATCATCTAACAAACCTACAACATATTTACATATCATACATATGTATTTATATTCATAATACATGTGCATACTGAGTAAGTATTTATTAAGCACCCTCTTTGTACCATAAGAACGTGGCCCATCACTTCAGGCTTGTGAGAGAAACAAGAATGCTATGAATGGTGTTAAGTGTGAACAAACTGAATGTGCTCATGTTTTTAACAAGGAATGAGCCATGAGCAGGAAGACCGAGGCATATCTTGATGATTCTTTGCTATCTCTAAGGTTCATTTTTAGCAATAGGAAGTCTCATTTGAAATTGCTGAATGTTCAAGTGTGTCTATTCAGCATGCACTTCCCTTCTTAGAAATCTAAGAAGTGTGCTTAATGTCTTATTTGATGAAATGAGAGCCTGAAATGAATCATTTTACCTTCTACTTAGAAATGGGTGTAAATTAGTCAGAAATAAGAGGAGAAAAAGATGGCTTGGTTTTTGTTAAGAACGTCATTGTTTATTCACAGATACAATAATCTGAGAAATACTATCTTTTCACTAGGAGACAGACAGAATGGCTGAAAAAAGCAGTTATTAAGTGCTTACTGTGTACCAGGCACTGCAATGAGAGCTAGGGATACCAATACAAGCAAGCAAGATGGCCCCTGCCCTCAGAGACCTTACATTCTAATAAGGGAAGATAGCATAAAAGGGGAGCTAGAATTGGAAAAGAGACTGGAGCATAGGCAGCTCTGGCTTGGACAGAGCTGGGAAGCTCCATAGTGGGCATTTGTCTAGGCAAAGTAAGATGAAAGCTAACCAGTCAGACAGAGCTCAGTGTTCTGGGGCAGTAGTCTGAGACCCAGTGAGAGGAGGGGAAAGAAGAAGCTACAGTGCAAGTAGCATGGCTTGGAGAATGGCTGGGAATTGGAAGTAGAAGTTCTGTGTTCAAGCACTGGTTTCTGCTGCTTCACCAGTTATGTAATTTTAGATAAGTCACCACTGCTCTGGGCTTTTCTTTCCTCATCGGTAAAGCAAGTGGGTTGGGTTGGATGGTCTTTACATTTCACTTAGCAACAATACTCTGTCAGCTTGAGTCTCCTCTTTCAATAATTCTGGTTTGTGGTATTAAAATGTGTTGGTTACTTTGAGTTGAGACAAAGGGAAAGGGGGTGGGAAAGGGAAAAGAGAAGGGGAGAGAGAGAGTGAATGAAAGAGAGAGAGAAAGAGACAGACAGACAGAGAGAGATAGACACAAAGAGAGAGAACAAGAACAACAAGAAGGAGGAAGAGGAGGAGAGAAGTGGAGGGAGAGAAAGAGGAGAGGGAAAGAAAAAGGTGAGAGAAAGGAGGAGGAAAAGAGGGGGTAGATGGAGAAAGAAATAGGGAGGGAGGGAGGGAGGAAGAAAGGGAAAGAGAGAAGGAGAGGGAGACAGGGAGCTATGGAGATCAAGAGAAAGAAAAAGGGAGGGATATGGAGGAGGAGAGAGAAGGAGGGGAGACAGTCAGAGATAGAAGAAGAGAGCAAGTGGGAAAAGGAAAAAAACCTTTTGGTTTGATTGAGTTGTTTTATAATTCCAAAGACTTGAGTTTGGAAATTAGTGATTCTGATCAACATAAAAGAATGATGCTAGTATTACAACAATAATGTATAAAAATCCTG